TTCGGTGGTTCCTACCTGAACTTCATATCAACTTAATTAAGGAACTACTAAGTAAAAACGGGAACTATATTATAAATAGTAATATAGCTACAATTTCAATAATTGGCAAAAAACAATATAGCAAAGAAAGAAGTAATATTGTCCCAATAATTCTAAAATAAACCAGTCGAACGAATTGTGGAGAGATTTCGCTCGAAAAACGGTGTGGTATTGAACATTCGTTTAAGCCAGCTTTTGCTATTCAAGGAGATGTTTGATTTCCTGTTATTATCGGTGGATGATAGCAAGCTAAAATTTTCAGCCTAATTTATTTTTCATCTTTATTTCTAAAATTTTAATCTTGGTGAATTTCTATCAATTGTTAAAGCATTTCAATTATTACAATTGTAATCAAGCAGCATTTAAAATATTTAGGAAAATTTTTGAATTAAATGAAAATTGATAGAAAATTAAAAATTAGATAGAAATGTAAATATGATTAAATTAGTAAACAAATTAAGTAAGTAAACAGAAGCGCACGGGATGGAATCGTAGTTGTTGGTAATATTATTGGAATGCATCCTTTCACGCAATACCAATCAGCACAGTATTTGACAGGAACATAACTGTGAGGACTATTTGAGGCGCAGACCATAAATGCAAATATATTTAAAGTTCAAGGCCGCCCTCTTTTAAATTACTTAAATTCTCTTCATAAATTCTCTATTCAGAAATTTTACATCCTTTATAGAATGTAACAATTATTATTGATTTTCTTTTAGTATCATCATTTATTGATTATTTATTAAAAGTTCAAAATTTTCAAGTTAACAATGACACTTTCATATTAGCTGATCGTTTTATTGTAAGAAATTAATTTTATGAATTAACTAATCATTTCATTACAATAAATTAACTTTAGGAATTAATCGATCATTTCATTACAAAAAATTAACTTTAATTTTAAAAGGAAATTTTAAAATTAACAAAATAGCTGTCTGCAATATGATGAAGTTTAACAATTTCAATGCTATCATGCAATTTAATATCAATAAATTGTGTTAACCCCACTATTTGCAATTTTGACCTAAATATTCGAAAATTACATCCCATTGATAAAATGTCGCTGCCGAAACAATTTTGTCAAAATGATAAAAAAAACCCCGCTATTTCAGTCAATGAGTATTTTATACAAAAACAAAGTCGTTTCATATGTGGCGCTTCTTTTTTTCATTCGAATTTGAATTGTAATATCAGAAATTTAAATTTTATTATCACACTTTAATCATAGCTTTGTCTGGAAAAATATTGTACATACAATACAAAAATCGTCACATTCATTTTTTTTTTTTTGTTCGAAATAGTCGTTTGTCACTAATAGCAATACCTGATCCTTACTTTATTATTATCAATACTTTTACCCAACACAAATTGTTCTCTCCTCATACATCAACATCATCTGAATTTGTTATAATATTATAACTTTTGGTCAAAATGATTTTTATTTTAGATGAGGAAAGAAATTTGAATAGTATCAATTTGGGAGTAATTCGGAAGTAAGTGCCAATTGAATGCTGGTCATCAGCAGTTCATTTTGGGTAGCTTTTGTAAGAATCCTACATTTCTGCTTGCATAAAAATTTCCCGAAAACATCCGTCAAAATTTCAATAGCGTTTAGTCCCGATCATATTTACAATGCATCCGCAAGTTTCACATATTGCAAATGCTGCTAGTGCAGTATTTTTAGCGAAAAAAAAAAACAAATTTCGCAACTTTATAAATCCTGCATTACTCAGATATCCAAAGCTTTCAATTTATTAGCAAAAAAAAATGATTTTTAATTGAAAAAAAAATTTGCACAATTTGAGAACACATTTGATATATTATTCTCTACTTATTACAAAATATATACAATCTTGAGAAAGTCTTCATTGTATGATATTATCACTGATAAGGTTGCATTAGCATTAGTCACTTTTCATCTATTTCTAATCTTGTGATACTGTCGATTTGCCTCATGTCAATAGGGGCAAATGATATTTGAACATAACACAAATTCGAACAATTTCAAATATATGTAATATAATACAATAAATTTTATAAATAATACTTTCCGTATTTTTAAATACAGAGAATGATCACCCGTCGTTTTTATGTCACAGTTAAAAGTGTTAAAGTGATATTTATATAGCCAATCTGATTTGAAAAATTTACATAAGATGTCAAATAAAAATAATTAATGCAGTTTACAATGTAGTATTACTCCTGATAAGATAATTCATATACAAGTATTACCACCGATATTTACCACTTATCACCTTTCCAAAACATTTTAAACGTAAAGCTATCCATTAAGCTAATACAATAGTGTCACTTTCAGGACTGTTCAGAAGACTTTCCTGAGTTAGCCTGGATTGCACATCACTTCTTCCCTTTGAACCATACAAGTCGAATAGTGCACTTCTTGATGGTGCAACCATAAAAGATGTAAACAATGATAACAGTAACATTTCCACTATAATCACAAAGTTGCATATAACTGAAATACAACCATTTATGATAAATTTAAATTACAAAAAAAAGTAAAAATGGAAGTGTCAAACCAATAATTACATCTCTGATTACTAATTGTAAATTCATCGATGAAAAAAAAAACTAATAAATTATTATTTCTATTTCATTTTTCAAAAAATTAAAAGTTTAATCATCTTGAAAATTTTAGCTTTGATAAAAAATTTTACAATAATTGGAAACAAATTTAAAATTTCTTACATGTAAATATAAAAGTGAAATGTAAAAATGAAATGTAAAATGATTAAAATTTGAACTAACAGCGAGCATTATCACGCGCAGATAGTAATGGACCACATTTAAAAATATTAAATCGGATCAAAATATTCTCAAATATTACTGGCTGTTGAGCGGTGAAAAAAAGAAGTGCAATATCGATTACTCGAAATATTGTCATAAATCCATAATCACTGAGTTTATCCTTAAAATTAACTTCCTTTTTCATTAAAAAGTACTATGAAAAAAGAAATTGTCGTAAGATATTAAATAAATATACTTACGGAAGTTAGACGAGCTAACGTATGAACACCGAAAATAGCAAGTAATAAGGAAGCAACAGAAATCGTTTCACTGAACTGTATGTAGCTGAAAAAAAAAAATTCGCTTCTAAACAATTTAAATAAATATGACTAAATTTGCAAGATAATTTTTGGTAAAAAATTATTGCTTCAAAAGATGTTGGCGCTATTAGAACAAAAATATCAATAATTTTTATGATTTATAAAACGATGATCGAGATTGTTTTCAATAATAAAACTAATATAGACGATCGATGTAATTTATATGACACTTAAAATTTTAGAGATATTGGTGCTCAAGTTATGATTATGTCTTTGTGAATAGCAAACAAA